GCAAATGAGGATTATTAATGTGTATTATAATCAATCTAATCAGTTGGAAAATTTCATTTCAAAAAATGTAACATGTTCGTGTTATTCACGATTTCACCTATCATCACTATCGTATTAGGAGGCGAATCGGTCAAACGTCAAACGCATATGTTGTCACAGTTTCAACTACTTTCACATATAGGAAAGTATAGTATCCTATTTTACGTCGTATTTCTGATCTGCCGCAAACTATTTCACATCTTCTCGTTATTGAAAATCATCAGTAATCAACAATCATACCATTATTCGTGACATTTAACATTTGGCTGTTTTTTTTTTTTTTTTTGCGCATATTGTGCGTAATATTAACGTCGTTATAAATCGTAACTTGAAATAAATGCTAACATAAAAAGAAATATATATCTTTATCGATTCCATTATATTTCTCTAAAATGCAGTGGAACACAATACATAAATATATTTGCTTAAATAAATTTAAAAAATTCATTAAATATTTTTAAGGTTCGATAAACATTTGAAGTGTTATAATTTAGCTATGTTTATCATATTCGCGTAAATACAGTGTTCTATGTCAAGATAGCGGTTGTCAATAGGCGATAATGACAAGCGAGTCTTTGGTAAGAAAACAATTTCTCTGACAAATGTCTTTGTAGCCTCATTTTTTTTTTTAATTCGATGCTAGAGAGGTGTATTCACAGTTGATAACGACAATCGATAAGATCTATAATGGTATTGCAAGATTACATAGATGTTTACATAATGTTTACGTTATTGTCTCCGATGCAATTTCGTACAGAAAATAATCTGTAAGAGATAAAAAAAGTACTACAAATCTGGAGCACATCGTATTTAATAATTGTATTTACACATTAATAAAACAATTTTATTCTATTAAAAATAAATTCAATTTATACATTAAAAATATAACAACGATCCTAAATTTGTAATTTTGTTTATTAAGTCTGTAGAAATAGATAGATATTACAAATATCGCTTGATAAGTAAACTATTATCTATATTTTTCAAAAAATGTTTTTCGGGAAATAAACATGTTTTTATTTAGCTAAAATTTTATATTATTTAGCTAAATATGTTTTAAATATAAAAGAGTACATTATCTGTGAGAGCATTATCTTTTTCAGTCACATATATTTTAATAGAATACCCTTAGAAAAAAGTGTTTCAATATACTGATTAACCATTCAGTAACTGATGATATTTCACCAGTTGATGAAATATTCTCAGTTACTGAACAATTAATCAGTACATTGAAACACTTTTTCTTATTGTAATGAGTATATTGTAATTTCACAATATATTCATTACAATACTCTATTAATGACTTTTCTTAGTCATTTGATGTAAATTGCAGCAATTTGCGCACACAAAATATATTTTTCAGTTAATTACGTATTTATCAGCAACATCCATTTGTGAGTTCAAATATATTTCCTTAAATTATTGCATGTATTGTCGCACAGATAACTGACATTGTTTAATGACGTCTCCTCCTGTCTCTTACATTTACGTGCCTAAAAGTGAAAGGAGACTGCGTTGTACGGCTATATCAACTGACGAGACATTCTATTTTAAATATTTCTCTGAGCGTGCTATCGAGGATCGAGAATTTTTCGGAAGTAATAAATTATCTCGACGATGTTATCTCATCCAACGAGGAAAATTCTTCGAGAATTCAAAGTCATTATGACCCTCGGTGAATCGCAATACGGCGAAGGGCGCACGAAGCGTAAAGTGAATTCGGTGGGAACCGGTTGCGTCGGTTTCTGACAGGTTTCGGTGGATGCAATTATCGAGCATGTCTAGGATGAATTTCGTTTTGTGTTGGTAAACTTTCTCTTTCATCACTTCAGCGAGGTCAGCGGTCTGTTTCCAGAACTTCGATATAATAGAGGAGGAGATCCTGCATCTTCTTATCGTTTTAGAGTCTTTAAGAACCATAACATACAGAAAAATATAAGGCAGTAAGACGTAAGCTGTGTACGAATCGGTCATGCAATTACAGTAAAAGGCAATAACGTAAGCAATAGCAAATCCAAGATGTTGATTTACTTACTGATAACGTTTTTTAATATTCCACAGTACATTTCATTCTTAGTATATTCCGAAATAATTTAGGCGATTAAACATACAAAAAAGAAATTTTGTTTACAAAAATGTAAATCCATTTTTCTCCGATTAAGTACTTCACATAATTTGATCAATTACGATTAGACTACGATGACGACGTGTCGACGTCATTGATTGACGGACAATCTCAAGTAATCTCCATTATATGATAATGACTCGATTGCAATCTAGCAGAATGCGATATCGCTGAAAATTGACATCGAATTAGCTCAAAGTTAAGAAATATTTTCATGAAGTCCGAGATAACAAAGCAAAAAAAAATCAATGCGATTTAATTATTACATACAAAAAAAGATAACGAACTACATCTTTTAATATACTATACGTTGCAAGAATCAATATATATATCGATAGTAATCATGAAATTTTAATCGAGAATTAATATCTTCAAGATCTTTAAAAGAAGAAATTAATATCTCAGTTCTTGAAAGTCTGACGTAACAAATGGATGAACTTCTTGCGATTAAACGAGCAAAATAAGGCTATCAATGCGATAAAATTTTCGCGAAAGAAAAATCCGATAAGTCGGTCAGAATTATCCAATATTTATAAGCTTTTATAAGTGGCACAAATGACTACAATTTTTTATTAATTGTTAAAACTTATTTAAACAAAGAAATAGAATTTCATACAGTATTAAGGATAATTAATTTGAAATTAGATAACATCAGCACTTAATTTTAAATTCTCGAGTTATACTGGTAGAAAATTTATTAATACGAGTATATTTTAAAAGGTCAGCGGTTGATTACAAAATATTATCATTCTGAAGTCATTTTGAAATCTTCGCAATTGACTCTTTCATTGCGTAAATATTGATTAATTATTCAATATATCTCAATTTTTCTTCTCACAGTTACGATACTGTGATTCTTTCGTTTTCTCTTAAAATATTTATAAAAACTTAAAAAAAATATATTATTGTAGAACTCTGAAAGCACCAATAATCTAAACTACATCTGCGACTTTTGTGAGTTAATCGGACATGATATTAGCAGCCGGTGAATTCGCGAGTAAACAAAGATCGTTATACCGCGTTGCAGCGATCAATTATTCTGCTGCGCGTTTGTTAAAAATTTCGCAGATATCACATATCCAAAGATACTTCTAAATTACGGAGATAATGGCAGAAATGGCTGACAGATATTACCAGTAGTTTAATTACCAGAACAATTTTCGCGCACTCCCAGATTGTACTTGCAATATATCGCGCGGAATACCTATATTATGTAAGTTTTATTTCAGATAGTGATATGAAATTCAGAAGACTATTCGCAACAAATGTTATGCAAGATGACTGAATAAAGACAAAAATATGTCATTAAATCCTGAAATGATATCCTCAGGAACAATCTCAAATCGCGCAAATGAGATAATGCAGAAGAATGATGAAGTAGTAAAACTATTAAAAAATGAGACAGAAAAAATCCAACAAAATCATAGAGATAAAAATATAAATATACTTATTTATTAAATATGAAAGATAAGAAAAGAGAAAGAAGTGTCCCTATTATTGTATATACAGAAAAAACAAACAGTCCAACAAAATGATTTTCAAATCTGTAACTAAATTGTAGATACTTCAGTCGTGCTTTCGATGTAGCGATAGAACTTTATAAAAACAATGTTTTTCCTCTCCACGTGGTTTAAGATACCGTAAAGGAATCTTTTTCAGACGTTTGTATCTTTTTAGGTTTTACCGAGATATTTTTTGACTCTTGGAGAGAAAAACTGTATAACATGAGTATTTCACAGATCGCCGGTTTCGCAATGCCGAAAGTAATCGATAATGATACCGTATAATTTAAAGGCGTTCCAGTCTCACGCTTACAGCGACCAGTTAGCTCCTTACCTTTTGTTGCTACTTTCTAAACTGCGACTAATCATACGATGTCCTGATCAATGTACTTTCTAGAACTTTATAGACTAATACGAACATTTCATTTGCTTCACAGCAATCAAATATTTATCGATACCTGGCACAATTAATTCTTCATTCTTTTTGTCTCTTTCTTTTTCTAATATTCATTTCTATCGATATAATTTAATAAATAACTTTGACTCTATTAATCTGTTCAAGTCTATTGACTCAAAATGTAATTTATTGTCTTATTAATATTTTATTTAAAAATTTTTCTGGTATTTGATAGCTACTGTTAATGTAAAATCCTTTTCCTACAAAAATTTATTTTTTATTTTTTACATCTTTTTAATCATTAATTGATATAAATAATATGATTATATAATAAATTTGAACAAATTAGGAGTTAATCCTGGTTCAATGTACTCTTTAGCTTTAAAGTAAATTAAATCATGTCCGCTCTCTCATTTCCGTTCTCCGATAATATGGGCACGTGCGGAAAAGCGAAAGCAATTCAAACAAATCGCTCGTGTTTGAACGCCTAGAATGCTGTGGAGTCCTCCACTTTAAATTAGTTAAAAAAGGGATCTCGACGCTGATCGCCTAGCATTATCCAATCATACTATCAATCCGACTCTGCCTACGTCAGACTGAATGAAAGATTATGTAAATAATATTCTTGCACGTTAAAACATTGGAATTGTAAGAAAAACGCATTGTTCAACATCAGAATTCTTATTAAGATTTATTTATTAAAAGCATACATGAAATGAACAAAATCAAATATAAAAACATATATAAATACTTTAGGCCTGATTCCACCAATGTAAAATTAACTTTAATTTCGGTTTCACTTACTTTATCTTTTTTTAAGAATTAGAAAAAGATAAACAATAAGTCAAATTAAAAGATATAAATTCTTAGAATTAAAAAAAAGATAAAGAATAAATATTGAACCGAGATTATAAAGTTAATCTTATATTAGTGAAATTAGGCTTAAAATATTTATATGTTTTTACATTTAACTTTGCTAATTAAACGATTAAATTATACGCAGTAAAGATATTGTCAGACATTATTTAACAGAGTTTGTTTTTATTCCTGCGTCGGACTGGAATAGAACTTTCTTTCTTCAGTGAAATATAAAACATATACATATTATTTCACTTTAAGTTCTGAAGTGTATTAGTTTTTCCAGCTTAGATATATAGAAAACAGACCTAAAATCCATTTCTACCTTCTGTAAATTAATTTTAATTTATCTTTTTTTAATTCTTAGAATTTGAAAAAGATAAAAAATAAGTTAAATCGAGATTAAAGTTAATTTATAATAATATAAATAGATACTAAAATATACATATGATTATTTCATTGACAAAATTAATTATATTAAGCTGCACTTAGATACTTTATATAAAGCAGCCTTCAATGTGCACTGATTCAACATAACGCGAGTGACCGAATTCACTAATAGATTATTCACTGAGCGTTCGCTGATATGACGCGCTTTCCGCTACTTGTTGTAAAAGGCTATAGAAGCTTTCTCTACTTACTGTAATCATTAAAACTTGTTTCTGGAAACGAATACGTCGAGAACGTCGAAGAGAACTTCGGAATTAATTCTTCCTCGAAAAAAAAAAACGGTGTAACGCGTCTAACTCCGTTCAATCGTGAAATTCAATATATTTATTCTGAAGGGCTCAGTCAATATATTTACTCCGAAGGGCTCCTCTTTGAATTTCTCAACCTTCAATTATCGCGGCCTACGCAAAGTAAAACACGGAAGCGCGCGCCGACGAAAGCGATAATATGAATAATAATGATAATGTGACAAACACTCACGCACGGCGTTATCACTCACCTCTATATTGCCCATCGTTTGAAATGCCGTGAAGACCAGCATAAATCCCCAGCTGAGGATCATCACGTTTAAAAAGGCTCGATCCATGATTACAGTCGCGGGACGATCCTCACGGTATTGTCTTGTATGTACCTGTCGCGTGTATAACACGAGAGAGATTTGCGTTTCACGCGCGGTCTCGAAGTAGTCTACTCCTCGACGACTCCGATACTGTTGACAGATCGCCACATGGGTAAAGGGGAAACCGCGCGATTGCGAGCCACAACATAACACATACATCTATACAGCTACCTGCGCAGCCGCCTGCGCAAGTACTCATTGCTAAAAAAAAAAAAAAATATCTGACGTCGTGAAGTTGGCGATGAGCCGCATGAGATCTATCGATCGTCGATAGGTCGCTCTCGATTCTTGACCGACGATCGAGTTCCGTTCGATATGAAGTAATCGGTCGTAATCTTCGACTATGTAACTATGGCCTACTAGTTATCCCCACTCTTCCTATCTTTTCCGTAAGATGGACAAAGAGAATAGCAAACATCACGCGTGCCCCCGTCAGTGAAATGGCAAAAAATCGAAACACAGTCACGTTACGATGATAAAACAGAAAGAAAGAAAGAGATAGAATATGACATATGTTGTATTATTTTATAAGGGTATTAGTAAAGTACAGAATCAAAATAAAATACGCATATATAAATTTAACACATAATAATAAAATATAGATAACAAGTGTTAATAAACATATATATATTATTTAATAGCTATATAAATATAATTGTAATGTTCAATAAGCTATACAAATAATGTTATATTATTGACTGCTAAAAATTACAGCTTTTGTTAACGTGCGTCTCAAAAGATTTTTTTGTTTAGATATTGTGACGCATTTTCCTTCATAAAATAATTTTATTTCGAAGTAAAATGTTATTATTAATTTCTTTCTTTTCTTTGATCTTCTTCTAATTTCCAATGTAAGATTAACTTTAATCTCGATTTAATTTACTTTTTATCTTTTTCTTATTTTCAGGATTAGAAAAAGATAAACGGCAAGCTAAATTATGATTAAAGTTAATCTACATTGGAAACAGGCATTAGAGGAGATAAAGCTATCGATCGATCGATCGATCGATCTTGGGCGAGTCTCAAAGGCGAGATTGTGGCGAGCGACTTTTGCGCGGGTTTGACAGATCATCAACCGTGCCGTCGTGCTATCGTAGGAGTTCGACCAATTCGACAGAGAGTAAAAGAAAGAAAGGAAGAGAGTGAAGCAAAAAGAACAATATAAATAGCGGGGAGGCGATCGTCTGATGCGGCGAGCTTCAGGTCGATCGTATGCGTTGAGCAGATTGAAGTAAACCGCGATTCACCGTGTTTCCTGACGAAGAGGACGCTTAAAACGCTCGACCGACGTGACGTAAGAGCGCCACGGTTCCACCGTATACTTATACTTTACACCTCGACCAACCCCGATTTATACGACGTTGCCGGGCATCAGAACGTTCTCCGACGTGAATGGACGTTGGTTCACTCATCTATTATAATCTAGAGAAAGAGGGAGAGTGCGAGAAGAGTGGAGTGAGAAAGACAACAAGAGAGACGACAAAGTTAGACTATAGACTGGTGTAGACTGCTGACTGGATTCACCTAACCCATCGTCGTGACCGGGTGTGAGAAGGCGCTGGCTTGGACTTTTATCAGCAGATCTTTATCGATGGTGCGCGAGAACCGATCGGCCGTGAGCGCGTCGATCCTCATCACCGGCCGTGAGATCATCATGCAAACATTATGACGGACGTCCGCCCTTGTCGTGACACGAAGAACCCTCCCAGCCGCCCGCCCCGCGTTCTTCCACTGGTACCGCGCGAATACGGCGGTGAGGTTGGAAAGCCAACCAGGGGATAAGAAGAAGAAGAAGAAGAACACGGCGAGGGAGTTGCGGAGGGATGTACGAGCGTGAGCGTGAGTTATAAGGCGTCGATGTGTTAAAAGCCTGCGGGATCCGGACGATAGGTCGCCGTGATTTTGCTCGAGTGTCGAGACCGCTCAGCCAACCATGAAGAAGCAGTTTTTCCGGGTGAAGCAGCTCGCCGATCAGACCTTCTCTAGGTAGCTGAGTCAGCTAGAATCGCTAGCATCTGCATCACCAATTTCCATTTCTCCTAATTTTACCTGTTTATTTACTTCCTCGTAAGAGACACATGGTTCTTTTCAGCAACAGATGTAGTGTAACACAGTGATCATTACTTTGTTTAATGTTTGCAAATAAGAAGGATGTAATGATTCACTGTGTCGTCTGTGTCTCTTATTGAAAAACACCCATGGATACCATGGTATATCACAGTGAATCATTTTATTTTTTTGTTTAACAAATGACAAGGGTATAATGATTCACCATAGGTGCTTTTTATTTGGTGATACAAGTCAACATGAGTATTGTTCTAGCTTTGTTACTCATGGAAAGTCAAGAAACAGAAGAGTAGAATAAAGTTTAAATTAAAGTTTATCATTGATAGAAACACAAGTATTATTGACACAAATCAACATACAAACATCGTTCTATGTTTCTTGACATTCCATGAGTAACAAAGACAGAACGATACTCATGTTGACTTGTATTACCAAATAAAAAGCATCTACTGTGAATCATTATACCCTTTGTTGTTTATTAATGTTAAACAAAATATAAAATAATTTAATTTAATTACTGTAATACATTGTGGCATCTATAGGTGCTTTCCAACAATATAAAGGTGTTTTTCAGCAAATGATACAGATGACACAGTGTAATGTAGTAAATCATCCTTGTTGTTTGCCAATTAAACATATTTCATTGTGTTACACTTTATGTCAACTATATCTGTAGTTGAAAAATATCCTAATATGGAAAGCACCATTGGCTGCATTTGAGTTGGCTGTGCACAGCTTTATTCTTTCTTTACATAATGAGCAATTAAGATACAATTAAATGCTATTGTTATGAAAACGAATTGAACTCTGATTAAGTAGACGTATCTTTCTCTTGTTGGAGATAACATATCAGAATTGTCGACAGATCATCGTTATAATAGAGAACATGGAGATAATCTTAAACAAAAGATATTCCAAAATAGAAAATTGAAATTACTTACATGGATTTTGGATAAATTAAGAGTGATAAAATAGACTTCAAAAAAAAAAAAGATAAGACTTCTTGTTATCAAATGTACAGTATCTTAATGAAAGTTTATTTTTCATGTGAATAGATCTGGTAAAACGGAGGTACTAACAGATGATTTAGTGGCTGCTGACAAGCATGTTGAACAGATTAGAGCAGCTCTCACCTGTCTCAGCAAAAGACTCGGAAATCCACCGAATCAAACTATCACCCAAGATCCAGCTCTTAAGGAGAAACGCTTGGTAAATAGAAAAATCATATTTAAGGATTCAGATCATCAAGTATAAAATTTGGACTATATATTTAATGAATTCAACTAGCAATCGTTATTGTTATTATTTGCAATACTGGAGTGTTAAGGAGATATATGACTTATTTTTGATAATTTTTTTAAGAAAATAGCTGTTTCTTTTACACATCTACTTGTACATATTTAAATCTATTTTTATTTGTATTTATTTTTATTTAAATATCTATAGATATATTTTGATATGATTAAATGTGTATTAATTATGTTATTATGTTATGTAAACTCAGAAATACTAAATGTTAAAAAAACATCAGTGATTGACAGGATTGTAGCCTTTCTTAATTGAATTAAAAAATTTAAAAGGATTATTAATTATTATGAATTGTCCCTATAGTCTAAACTAGGATAAATATTGCAAATTGTTAAAATAGCTTGGTTTTAAGACTAGTATCAATTTTTAAATAAAATTTTGGTTTTAATATTTATGAAAGATAGTTAATTTATAGATAATGACAATATTTTATACCATAAATAGGCGTGTATTTTATCTGTACATAAAAGTTTAAATCGAAATAGGTTTAGTAGTTTCTGAGAAATCATATCAACCGACTTGGAAAGTATGTTTTGAGAAAAACGTGTTTAAAATGTTAAATACAGTTACAATACAAAAAATAAAAGTTTATCTCTAATCAATGTCGAAACCATACAACAAACTCTCT